TACACTGTACGATAATTGTACTTGCGATTTCGTTCGGATTTTAAACCTGTACGTAAATAAAGTTACTTACCCGTGGAGATGAGTCACTCTGACCTTTTTGGGTTATCTGGTGTGGGTCGCATCCTGGGACAAAACTGACCTAATTTGCGGGAAATGCTCAGCATAACAAGGAACTTTCTATATAGTAGTATGTCACTGATGTCAGCTATGGTCTGTATACCTTGTATATGTACTGGTAGAAATAATTATTATTATCAGCATGTGTGTCGAGAACCTAGGATAACCCAAAAAAAAAGGTCAGAGTCACTTATTTCCATTCCATTTCCACTGGTAATGTTTGTCAGGAAACAGGACAAGTGTTTCCTGACGCGGGTCTTAGTTATATGATGACCCACAGCTGGACCTTTTGGTCATCTGACTGAGGCCTTCCACTGGCTTACCTCTCCACTTTAAAAAAATATGTATTTATGTATACCTGTACTTGGACAAACTTAATAGCTGTTTTAACTATTAAAGTGTAAATAATAAGATGTTACAATGACTGATGGAAATAAATCACTGACTGGGTAATCCTATGTAATCTACACATACTGCTATGTATGATCAGTCATATAACTGTATTTATGTATACCTGTACCTGAATAAACTTAAGGTGTTATCAGTAGCAAAATTAATTATCACTACTGATAACTCAACACCAGAGTCCGTCATCAAGCAGAGTACCATGTAAGATTACAATACCATCCCAGAGTACCATACTAGAGTACACCACCATCCCAGAGTACAATACCATTCCAAAGTACCAGAGTACAATACCATCCCAGAGTACCATGCTAGAATACAATATCATCCCAGAGTACAATACTAGAGTACAGTACCATCCCAGAGTACCACACTAGAGTACAGTACCATACCAGATTACCACACTAGAGTACAGTACCATACCAGAGTACCATGCTAGAGCATAATACCATCTCAGAGTATCACACTAGAGTACATCATCCCAGAGTATCACACTAGAGTACAATACCATCCCAGATTATCACACTAGGGTACAACACCATCCCAGAGTATCACACTAGAGTGCAGCCTTTCCAGGTACACCTTTAGAGTACAGTCAGGGCCAGCATTACAAACTGACGTACATTCAACAGGTTACATACTAGAGACATCCATTAGAGTATCACACTAGAGTACATCATCCAGATACACATATGTCATATCCAGTTACACTGGTAAGACAATCCAGTGTATCAATTAGAGTCACGCATTAGTGTCACTAGAGTACACCTCCAGATAACCCATAGACAAACCATCCAGAGTACACTTAAGTACCCATCCCAGTCCACTGGTACATTCATCCAGGATACCCACTAGAGTACACCAGTGTTTCCTATCCGGAGTACTACTACTAGAGTACCCATCCCAGCTACCCATTAGGTACACCATACCTGAGGCCTTCCCACTGGTTACCCTCCACTCAGATAAACTAGATTTAATACCTCCAGGACTAACACTTAGAGTACCACCTTTAGACTACCACTAGGTACAACAATAAGATTACATGACGAGAACATATCCCAGACTCCATAGAGTAATCACCATTCAGATCTACACAACTGATACCCACATCCAGACTACAACTAGTAGTACACACGATCCCGTACACCTAGATAACACTATAAGACTACACAGTAGAGTACACCACCATTCCAATTCCATCACTAGTAACTCCAAACACACAGAGTACACCATCACAGACTACCACATAGATACACACCATCCAGACTACCAACTAGAGTACACCCATCCAATACCCATAGAGTACATCCACCATCCCAGATACCACACTGAGTACAATACCATCCCAGATGAGTACCCAATCTAGATACCACAAGTCACACATCCCAGATACATACTAGAGTACCATACCATCCACAGAGTACCCACACTAGAGTACATCACCATACCAGACTACCACACTAGAGTACATACCATCCCAGATACCATCTAGAGTACACCACCATCCAGAGTACACACTAGAGTACACACCATCCCAGATATCACACTAGAGTACAATACCATCCCAGACTACACACTAGAGTACAACCCATCCCAGAGTACCACACTAGAGTACAACCCATCCCAGAATACCACACTAGAGTACACTCCATCCCAGATACCACTAGAGTACAACCATCCAGATACACACTAGAGTACACCATCCCAGATATCACACTAGAGTACATCCATCCCAGATACCACACTAGAGTACACCACCATCCCAGGTACACACTAGAGTACACACCATCCCAGAGTATCACACTAGAGTACCACCATCCCAGACTACCCCACTAGAGTACACCATCCCAGACTACCCCACTAGAGTACACCACCATCCCAGAGTACCACACTAGAGTACACCATCCCAGACTACCACACTAGAGTACACCACCATCCCAGACTACCCCACTAGAGTACACCACCATCCCAGACTACCACACTAGAGTACACCACCATCCCAGACTACCCCACTAGAGTACACCACCATCCCAGAATACCACACGAGTACACCACCATCCCAGACTACCCCACTAGAGTACACCACCATTCCAGACTACCACACTAGAGTACACCACCATCCCAGACTACCACACTAGAGTACACCACCATCCCAGACTACCACACTAGAGTACACCACCATCCCAGACTACCACACTAGAGTACACCACCATCCCAGACTACCACACTAGAGTACACACACCATCCCAGACTACCACACTAGAGTACACCACCATCCCAGACTACCACACTAGAGTACACCACCATCCCAGACTACCACACTAGAGTACACCACCATCCCAGACTACCACACTAGAGTACACCACCATCCCAGACTACCACACTAGAGTACACCACCATCCCAGACTACCACACTAGAGTACACCACCATCCCAGACTACCACACTAGAGTACACCACCATCCCAGACTACCACACTAGAGTACACCACATCCAGACTACCCACTAGAGACCCACCATCCCAGACTACCACACTAGAGTACACCACCATCCCAGACTACCACACGAGTACAACACCATCCCAGACTACCACACTAGAGTACACCACCATCCCAGACTACCACACTAGAGTACACCACCATCCCAGACTACCACACTAGAGTACACCACCATCCCAGACTCACCACACTAGAGTACACCACCATCCCAGACTACACCTAGAGTACAACCACCATCCCAGACTACCACACTAGAGTACACCACCATCCCAGACTACCACACTAGAGTACAACCACCATCCCAGACTACCACACTAGAGTACACCACCATCCCAGACTACCACACTAGAGTACACCACCATCCCAGACTACCACACTAGAGTACACACCATCCCAGACTACCACACTAGAGTACACCACCATCCCAGACTACCACACTAGAGTACACCACCATCCCAGACTACCACACTAGAGTACACCACCATCCCAGACTACCACACTAGAGTACACCACCATCCCAGACACCACACTAGAGTACACCACCATCCCAGACTACCACACTAGAGTACACCACCATCCCAGATACCACACTAGAGTACACCACCATCCCAGACTACCACACTAGAGTACACCACCATCCAGACTACCACACTAGAGTACACCACCATCCCAGACTACCACACTAGAGTCACACACCAATCCCAGACACACCACACTAGAGTACAACACCATCCCAGAGTACCACACTAGAGTACACCACCATCCCAGACTACCACACTAGAGTACACCACCATCCCAGATACCACACTAGAGTACACCACCATCCAGATACCCACGAGTACACCACCATCCCAGACCCCACTAGAGTACACCACCATCCCAGACCACCACACTAGAGTACACCCATCCCAGATACCACACTAGAGTACAACACCATCCCAGACTACCACACTAGAGCTACACACCACCATCCCAGACACCACCTAAGTACACCATCCAGACTACCACTAGAGTACACCACCATCCCAGACTACCACACTAGAGTACACCACCATCCCAGACTACCACACTAGAGTACACCACCATCCCAGACTACCACACTAGAGTACACCACCATCCCAGACTACCACACTAGAGTACACCACCATCCCAGACTACCACACTAGAGTACACCACCATCCCAGACTACCACACTAGAGTACACCACCATCCAGACTACCACACTAGAGTACACCACCATCCAACTACCACATAGAGTACACACCATCCCAGACTACCACACTAGAGTACACCACCATCCCAGACTACCACACTAGAGTAACCACCATCCCAGACTACCACACTAGAGTACACCACCATCCCAGACTACCACACTAGAGTACACCACCATCCCAGACTACCACACTAGAGTACACCACCATCCCAGACTACCACACTAGAGTACACACCATCCCAGACTACCACACTAGAGTACACCACCATCCCAGACTACCACACTAGAGTACACCACCATCCCAGACTACCACACTAGAGTACACCACCATCCCAGACTACCACACTAGAGTACACCACCATCCAGACTACCACACTAGAGTACACCACCATCCCAGACTACCACACTAGAGTACACCACCATCCCAGACTACCACACTAGAGTACACCACCATCCCAGACTACCACACTAGAGTACACCACCATCCCAGACTACCACACTAGAGTACACCACCATCCCAGACTACCACACTAGAGTACACCACCATCCCAGACTACCACACTAGAGTACACCATCCCAGACTACCACACTAGAGTACACCACCATCCCAGACTACCACACTAGAGTACACCACCATCCCAGACTACCACACTAGAGTACACCACCATCCCAGACCACCACACTAGAGTACACCACCATCCCAGACTACCACACTAGAGTACACCACCATCCCAGAGTACAAAGTCACACAGGAAGCTGAGTACTTACTTCGTGCAGCATGGTACAGATCTTTCACTTCCTTAATAAGAGCCTTGATGGAAGAATTTGTCTGGTCCAACTCCTTCTCATGAGCGTGTAATTTCTCCCGAAAGTAAGGACTGTCGTTAAGACAGTCCTTAAACTCGAGTGGCATCAGACCCATCTTGGCTATATCATATTATCAGCCAATAACCTGCACATCGCAACACTTTTAATCACGAATTACAGAGCTCAACACACACAACCTCTCACACCAATGGATTCTCTCTAACTGACTCTTCAATATTTGTCAACTTCGGGGGTTGTGATAAATATGTAACAGTAATATTGCTTTCTAAACCGGTTTAGGGAGAGTAAGTGGTATGGAATACTTTATAAATAGTGTTTAATCTCTGTTTATTATGAGGTTTCGATGCTATTTTGTCTGAGGTGTGAGTTCGGGTGAGTGAGATCCTGGCGTCTATATTTAACCCACCAACCAACGGTGGTGCCAGCCACTTGTTGATCCGTTTTCTATACTAACTTGTAGCTCAAACTCACCTATGTTGAAATGATTATATCTTCCTTTTTGTATTTCTTCTACTATTTCCTTTTCTGTCTTCTTCTATTTCTTTGTCTTTTTCTATTTCTTCTTCGTTTTCTTCTTTGTGTTCTATGTCTCCCATTAATCCTTCTTTTACTTCTGGTTCTTCTTTTCATCATGGCCCGGTGGCCTGGTGGCTAAAGGTCCCGCTTCACACACGGAGGGCCCGGGTTCGATTCCCGGCGGGTGGAAACATTTCGACACGTTTCCTTACACCTGTTGTCCTGTTCACCTAGCAGCAAATAGGTACCTGGGTGTTAGTCGACTGGTGTGGGTCGCATCCTGGGGGACAAGATTAAGGACCCCAATGGAAATAAGTTAGACAGTCCTCGATGACGCACTGACTTTCTTGGGTTATCCTGGGTGGCTAACCCTCCGGGGTTAAAAATCCGAACGAAATCTTATCTTATCAGAGAGCAGTTGATGCTGGTGGTTATGAGTTTTTATTCATGGCAGAATACTAGTACCCTCCCTTCCTTCAGTCAACATTAATTACATTAACTGGTTGACACTACCTTAAAACCTACATAAAATACTGGATAAAATCACCGTCAAGGTTTAAACTTATAGTAATAATAATAATAATAATAATAATAAATGTTTAGTTCCTTGCAAAGTTTACAATGTACGGTTTACATATAAAATATTAATTACAGGAAGGCCTCTAGCATGCCTAGGCCAAGATAAAACACTTCCTTAAGCCCTTCTCTTCAATGTAGTAATAATAATAATAATAATAATAATAATTCTACCAGTACATGTACAAGGTATACAGATCATAGCTGACATCAATGACATACTACTATATAGAAAGTTCCTTGTCATGCAGAGCATTTCTTGCAAATTAGGTCAATTTTGTCCCATGGGAGTGATAATGTCGGAGGATCTCACCTTCAAGGACCATAACATTGTATCAATTGCAGCTGCTAGAAAAATGACAGGATGGATAATGAGAACCTTCAAAACTAGGGATGTCAAGCCCATGATGACACTCTTCAGGTCGCTTGTTCTTGGTGGCCTGGTGGCTAAAGGTCCCGCTTCACACACAGAGGGCCCGGGTTTCATTCCCGGCGGGTAGAAACATTTCGACACGGTTTCCTTACACCTGTTGTCCTGTTCACCTAGCAGCAAATAGGTACCTGGGTGTTAGTCAACTGGTGTGGGTCGCATCCTGGGGGACAAGATTAAGGACCCCAATGGAAATAAGTTAGACAGTCCTCGATGACGCACTGACTTTCTTGGGTTATCCTGGGTGGCTAACCCTCCGGGGTTAAAAATCCGAACGAAATCTTATCTTATCTTATCTAGGCTGGAATATTGCTGCACACTAACACCACCTTTCAAGGCAGGTGAAATTGCTGACCTAAAAAATGTAGAGAACCTTCACGGCACACATAACTGTGATAAAACATCTCACTTACTGGGAGCGCTTGAAGTTCCTGAACCTGTACTCCCTAGAATGCAGGCGGGAGAGATACATGATTATATACACCTGAAAAATCCGAGGGACTAATACCGAACTTGCACACGAAAATCATTCTCTATGAAAGCAAAAGACTCGGCACATGATGCAACATCCCCCCCCCCCCAAGGAAAAGCAGGGGCACCACTAGCACAATAAAAGACAACACAATAAGTGTGAAGGGCCCAAGACTGTTCAACTGCCTCCCAGCATACATCAGGGGGATTACCAATAGACCCCTGGCTGTCTTCAAGCAGGCGCTCGACAGGCACCTAAAGTCATTACCTAACCAGCCGGGTTGTGGTTTGTACATTCCTAAGCTGTACTCCGGTCTGTCCTCACTTTATCCGATTTGCGTGACCTTGTATTTGTCCGAACTATAATAATAATAATGTTTGGATTTTTAACCCAGAGGGTTAGCCACCCAGGATAACCCAAGAAAGTCAGTGCGACATCGAGGACTGTCTTATTTTCATTGCGGTCCTTCAACATTGTCTCCCAAGATGCCACCCACACCAGTCCACTAACACCCAGGTACCTACTTACTTCTAGGTGAACAGGGACATCAGGTGTAAGGAAACACACCCCTTTCCACCCAGCCGGGGATCGAACCACTTGGTGTGTGAGGCCAATGCGTTGCCTACCAGGCCACGGGGCACTATGAATGCACAGCATGTAGTATATGTGGTGAAGTCATGAATTCAATATTGCAGCATCACTCACAAGGAAAGACTTCCCCCGACAAAAAAAAATAAGTTGGTTAATGAAACAGCAACCATAAGGGGTCACACTCAAATTTTAATATTATCTCATTATAATCTTCATACATAAGTACAGTGGACCCCCGACTAACGATGAGCTCCCAACTCGACCAATTATGTAAGTGTATTTTTGTAAGTGCTTTCATAGGTGTATTTTTGGGGGTCTGAAATGGACTAATCTAATTCACAATATTCCTTATGGGAACAAATTCGGTCTATAACGGCACCTGAACATACTTCTGGATTGAAATAATATCGTTAGTCGGGGGTCCACTGTATTTTAAGCTTATGGCCCTTTTTTGTTGTTAGGTTATCTAATAATAACTAATTTGCTCACCCTGCCTTGGTGGGTAATGGCCAATGTGTTAATAAAATAAAAAATTGCAAGAATCTTTGAAACAATCACTTATAAAGCAAAACAACCAAGTAAAGCAATAAGGTGTTAAGGTAAGCATCATGAAAGCATTATGGCTTGTGCATCAACAAAACTGTGTCAACATTAAAGCAAATAAGACACTTTAAGGCTATTATCATATATTTATTTACACATCTGTTTGCCACTATTTACATTTAAAGTATAAAAAACTATAAGCAATAATTCACAAATAACCCACAATTAGCAATGGAACTGTACGATGACATACCGGTCTGAGTCATTGTCAAGGTGCTGCTTGACAGAGGTTCAAAACAGACTGAAATGTCATGTTTCACTTATAAGTGTGGGTTGTCTGTGAAGTGTTCCATCCATGGTGTTGTGACCTTTTATTCTTTATGAACAATAATCCATGGATGTATTCTTTATACTGTACAATATACGTATATTATCCCAATTTTTATCTTTCCTCCGTAAGCCTTGAGTATTGTAAGAGGCAACTCAAATGCCAGGAGCAAGGGGCTTGTAACCCCTTCTCCAGTATAAATTATACAAAGCAGAATAAGCCACATGGGGATAGAAATCTTTAGCAAGATTTCTATCCCCATGTGGCTTGTTCTGCTTTGTTAAGAATGCCTGTCTGTGATTGTATTGCATAAATTACTAAATGTAAAAAGAAATGTTTATTTTTCGGGTCACCCTGCCTCAGTGGGAGACGGTCGGTGTGTTAACAGAAAAATACCCCATTTTTTTGTTCCTTTATTTAAATTTATCATAAAATACCAATGAACAATCGACAATGGTGATGAAAGCTCTAGTTCTTTATCAGTTACCAAGACAACCTATACTGCATCTGTCGTGTTAATTATTGCAGAGAACTGATAATTTTTAAGGTCAACTTAATTGTATATTACATAAACAAAGCAAGCTATTCATATGAATTGTAGCAATTCCAGATAGACAAAATCCAAAACTCAATTTCTATGACACACAACTAATTCTATCATCATACAAAACTCTAAATTTGCAAATCATAGTTTCTAAGTTTCAAAGAAAAAATATAATTTTACAGGTATAAATAGTTTCATTATTAATAATTTCATTTTTCAATATAATATCACATAATTCCTACTAAAAGAATTTTGTGGTAGAAAGCAAGTGATGAAATTTGAAATTCAAAATTCCACTTACCTGATCGCATTTACTTTTCTGATTAATAATTTTATCAAAATTAATAATCTATTATATTACTGAACAGCAAAATATTTCAATGTCAAAATGTAAATAAGGTTAGAATTAGTTACAGGAGGGCTCCACGTATACAGGAGGGCTCCACGTATACAGGAGGGATCCACGTATACAGGAGGGCTCCACGTATACAGGAGGGCTCCACGTATACAGGAGGCTCCAGCAAAAACCCTTTACAGGAGGGCTCCCCGTATACAGGAGGTCCACGTATACAGGAGGGTCCAGTATACGGAGGGTCCACTATACAGGAGGGCTCCAGTATACAGGAGGGTCCACGTTACGGGAAATTTTACAGGGGGCTCCGTATACAGGAGGGATCCACGTATACAGGAGGGCTGCACGTATACAGGAGGGCTCCATGTATACAGGAGGGATCCACGTATACAGGAGGGATCCACGTATACAGGAGGGCTCCATGTATACAGGAGGGCTCCACGTATACAGGAGGGCTCCACGTATACAGGAGGGCTCCACGTATACAGGAGGGCTCCATGTATACAGGAGGGCTCCATGTATACAGGAGGGCTCCACGTATACAGGAGGGCTCCACGTATACAGGAGGGCTCCAGTATACAGGAGGGCTCCAGTATACAGGAAGGCTCCCGTATACAGGAGGGCTCCACGTATACAGGAGGGCTCCACGTATACAGGAGGGCTCCACGTATACAGGAGGGCTCCACGTATACAGGAGGGCTCCACGTATACAGGAGGGCTCCACGTATACAGGAGGGCTCCACGTATACAGGAGGGCTCCACGTATACAGGAGGGCTCCACGTATACAGGAAGGCTCCACGTATACAGGAAGGCTCCACGTATACAGGAGGGATCCACGTATACAGGAGGGCTCCACGTATACAGGAGGGCTCCACGTATACAGGAGGGCTCCACGTATACAGGAGGGCTCCACAGTATACAGCCCCTTTTTCCTTTTTTGTTGCTCCACATTTTTTGTTGGCTTTCAATTCAGCCATTATTCATTATGCTTGATGCTTTTACCACTCCTCCACTGTTATTACCATTTTAGCTGATTCACTTTCTTTTCTTTCTTGTCCACTGACACCACTCTCCTTGGTTGCCATTTTCCTCATACTTTTACTGAAGCAACCACTAAATAATGATCTGTCGTAACTGTTGCTATGCTCTCTCTCTCTTTCATACAACAGTTGTGAAAGGGAAAGAGGAAAGATGACCATATACAGTAAGATTTCAAATTTCAAACACATTCAGAATCCTTTTGTATTGTGTATATCATCATTATATCATTACTGTGTAATTCTTCCTCCGTAAGCCGTGCGTGTCGTAAGATGCGACAAACATTTGGGAGCAAGGGGCTAGTAACCCCTTCTCCTGTATACATTACTAAAGTTAAAAAGAGAAACTTTTGTTTTTCTTTATGGGCCGCCCCGCCTTGGTGGATACAGACAGTCTGTTGAAAGAAGATCATTACTGTGTATAATATCATTATCATACACAATACAGAAGGTCCCCAACATGCTTGTAAGTTAAAGACTTCCTGTATTATGAATATCATACACAATTCAGATCTAATAATGTGTTTGTAAGTTAAAGACTTACTGTACAGAGCTGCATCAACAGGGCTCTCCTGTATAAAAAAGACTAATTCAATCCACATAATATTTCTGAAGTTGATGGCTTCTATCTATCATATTGTTTTTTTCAAGGTTTAATTTTATCTGGTAAAAAATGTTTGCTGAATATACTTCTCTTCAGCAAGTAACTTTTCTTTTATTTTACTTTCTCCTCTTCCACTTCCTCTTCCTCTTCCGACTCGTCCTCGTCCCCATCCTCGTCATCGTCGTCATCTTCGTCAGAGTCAGAGTCGTCATAGTAGTCATCGTAGCTATTGCCGTACCCTACGGCACCTTCTTCGTACTCATCATCATCATCGGCTCCAAGTTGTTGTCGTCCAAATTTGTGAGTGCGAGCTACAGAGAGAAACATCTTCATTAGTTTAATGCTTTTCAGAAATTTGCAAAATCTACATGTTAGATAAATGACCACAGATGCTTAGCCAAGCCATTATAGCTTGAAAAAGCTCCTGGAAAGCAAAATGTTGTCCAATAAAATGTCACATTAGTTGCATTAGTTCCATTTACTTAACATTTTATTGGTAATTCTACTATTATAACTAAAATCTACATTACAAAATAAACAAGGTGAACTAGATGTTTAGTTTCCTTATACAGTGGAACCTCAAAAATCGAACTGCTCCAACTCAACCAATTATGTAAGTGTATTTTTGTAAGTGCTTTTATAAGTGTATTTTTGAGGGTCTTAAATGGTCTAATCTAATTTACATTATTCCTGATGGGAATAAATTCGTTCGGTAGTGGCACTCGAACAGCCTTCTGGACCGAAGAAAGTTCGATATTTGAGGTTCCACTGTATTTGATTCCGCTAAAATGCTGATGTATTAAAACACGGTAGAGCCTCTCCTCACTTAGTGACGTACTCGTTTACTGATGACTTGGACTTACGATGGGCTTCCTGACCAGTATGCATACCTAAATAATGTATATTAGAGCTGATTTCCTCTATTCTACTTATTACAATATACAGTACACTACTGTATAAACATTTAAAAATATACTAAAAAAATTTTAAGGAAAAATACATTACAAAAATCAAGATGGTTGCACAACCAACTACCATTACAATACGCTCCTTGCTTAGCGATGAATTCATTTACTGATGTGGTCTTAGGAACGGAACTCTGTCGTTAAGTGAGGAGAGGCTGTATATGTAACACTCACAGGGAAGCAGAGAATTCTTCCTCTGTAAGCCATGCGTGTCATAAGAGGCAACTAAAATGCCAAGAGCAAGGAGCTAGTAACCCCTTCTGTAAAAATTACTAAATACAAAAAGAAATGTTTTTTCTTTATCGGGTCACCATGCCTTGTTGGGAGATGGCCGTTGTGTTGAAAATTAAAAAATAATACATGTAACACAGATTACCTTACAAATCAAGGTAACCATTAACCCGTAAACGGTCCAAACGTACAGTGGTCCCTCGCTTTTCAAAGTTCTCGGGAATCATAGATTTCGGAAATCATACCTGGAGGTTATTCTGGGGATCAATGCCCCCGCGGCCCGGTCCATGACCAGGCCTCCCGATGGATCAGGGCCTGATCAACTAGGCTGTTACTGCTGGCCGCACGCAGTCTGACGTACGAGCCACAGCCCGGCTGATCCGGCACTGACTTTAGGTATCTGTCCAGCTCTCTCTTGAAGGCAGCCAGGGGTTTATTGGCAATTCCCCTAATGCTTGATGGGAGGCTGTTGAACAGTTTTGGGCCCCGGACACTTATGGTGTTTTCTCTTAGTGTACCAATGGCGCCCCTACTTTTTATTGGCGGCATTTTGCATCGCCTGCCCAGTCTTTTACTTTCGTAGGGAGTGATTTCTGTGTGCAGATTTGGGACCATTCCTTCCAAGATTTTCCAAGTGTAGATTATGATATATCTCTCCCTCCTGCGTTCCAACGAGTACAAGTCAAGTGCTTCCAAGCGTTCCCAGTAGTTAAGGTGCTTGACAGAACTTATACGTGCAGTAAAGGATAGGGATATTTTCATATAAACATAGGCTCGCTAATCATAGGTTGACTCGCGAATAGTAGTTCGACCGGGACGCGTACGCACGGTGTGAGCCGGGGCGGCCTCCCTACCCAGCCAGTCTGGCATTGTTTACCAGTGAGCGAAGGTCCCCTCATGTGCTCCTACGAAATATTTCATAATATTCCACTCATTTTAGTGCTTGCAAGTACTAAATAAGCTACCATGGCTCCAAAGAAAGCTCCTAGTGCCAAGCCTGTGGTAAAGAAGGTGAGAAATACACCAAAGCAATGTTTCACAGGTGCTTGACTGTGACCACAGACACTCACTTGACCCTAAGGGAATTTTGGAGAGAACACATCCTCCATTGCATAACCCTTATAGGTATGGCTTGGGAGGAAATGACTACCAGGACTTTGAACTCTGCTTGGAGGATGTGGAAGAGTTGGTGGAAGACCACAACGAAGAGCTCACCACTGAGGAGCTGCAAGAGCTTCAGCAGGAACAGCAACAGATCGCAGCTCAGAATCTTGCTGCAGAGGAGGAGGAAGAGAGATGGAAGAAGGTGCCTTCTTCAGAAATTAAAGAGATTTTTGCTATGTGGGGTAAGATGGAAAGCTTTATGGAGAAACATCACCCTGACAAGGTTGTTGCAAGCCATGTTGGCAACATGTACAGTGACAAAGTCTTGGGCCATTTTAGGGAAATGTTAAAGAGACGCCTGAAACAGAGCTCTCTCCACAGTTATTTTGCGAGACAGGACTCCAGTGACTCTCAAGGTGGTCCTAGTGGCATTAAGAAACAAAGAAGAGAAGCAACCCCAGAAAAGCAATTGGTACCTGAGGTGTTGCTGGAAGGGAATTCCCCTTCCAAACTGCAAACAATCCAATCTCTCTCCTCCTCTAGTCTCCCATACACTAAGAAGAATCTCCAATAAAGGTAAGTGTTATGCTGTTAATGTTTCATTCATCATTTCCCATTGTATTGTTTATGTACTACATCTATATTTCATCCTAGGTAGTAGTGTTTGTTGACAGAACCCGGGAGTACTAACCGTCCTGCTAAGTGATTTAAACGAAACTGTAATTGTTTTACATGATGGTAGGAAATTGATGGTGTCCTTTTTTCGTCTCATGAACATGCAAGTTTTCAGGTACGTTTGCTAACTACTACTTACACTTAGGCCCACTACACATAATGTACAAGCCATATATTACAACCCCTCTGGAGTTTCTTCTATTTTCTTGTCTAGTCTTATTCTTGTTTATTTTCTTATCTCATGGAAGTTGGAACAGAATCTTCCTCCGTAAGACAATGCGTGTTGTAGAGGTCGACTAAAATGCCGGGAGAAGGGGCTTGTATCTTCTCCTGTATATATTATAAAATAGTAAAAAAAACTCGTTATCCTTTGGCACCCGCCTCGGTTGGATAGGCCGTGTGTTGAAAGAAGAAGAAAGATCTTATTCTTGTAAATTTTTTTTGTTTTATCTTCTGGGTGTCAGAAGGATTAATTGTATTTACAATATTTCTTATGGGAAATTGATTCGCAAATAGTAATTTCGATAATATAGCAACTCCAGGAACGTGTAACTACGAAAAACGAGGGCCACTGAATATACATTTTTTTCAACAATTGAAGTATGTCCAAAAGTTAGATCTTTTTTGTTTTTCTACATTTGAAATGTGTAAAAAAACTTTGATCTATTTTTTGTTATATTTGAACTATGTAAAAACTTAGATCCTTTGTAGAATGACACATGTGAACATAGATCTGCTTGGACCGTTTAGGTTTAAAAAATATTACATTCACCAATAATTTCTATTAATTTTACATACTCACATTCTGTATATGCAAGTGGAGTGTATACTGCAATACAGTAGGGGCCCCAACTTAAGAACAAGTTATATTCCCAGTAAGTTATATTCCCAGTTTTCCAACCTACAACAAAGTTGTTTGTAACCCTGAACTTATTATCCTGCAGAGAGTGACAGTACAAAGAATGGCCATGTGTATAACTGCAGACAGATATTTGTAACATAATTATTTACCAAATATTATCTATTAACTTTGTTTGCAAGTAAGGATCAGTGTATGTTAAGTGTTTACAAATTAGGGCCCTCACAATATCATTCCTGTACAACAAGTAAAAAAAAAAAAGGAAAATACGTTAATTTTTGGTTAAATAAATGAACATTCATACAAAAAATTTATGCACAAATGGTAACTTACTTGACATGCTAAGTTCCTTAGTTTCCTCAGTATCATAACCACACTTGGGACAAGGAATCTTCTGCTTGTTGTCGTACTTGAACCCTTTTCTACGCACGTGCTCCTCACAATAACATGTCTTGCACCGAAGACAGGAGTACTGTCCGTGACGATTGCATGACAAACCTGGTGAAAGCAAATGAAGTGCCATTGCTAGTTACAAATGGTAGACTTATTGCCAAAAAAGTGTCATGGTACATATTTTTTTATCTTAATTCACTGAAGAAGAAAATTTAATAACTTATATTTTTAAGTAATGTTGATATGAAGAAAATGAATCACTTTTTTTTTTAGTAGAAGTCTTGTTCAAAATTCTGAACGTACAATTTTCTTCACATGGCATTACACTGCCTGATGCAATCCTAAGTAGAAGAATAAATAGAATATAGCTGATGAAGCATCAGTAAAGAAAGGTATATACGTACTGCATTTAAGTGCTACTTACTCCACCTTGTAGGAATTTAGTCATCAATCCAGCACTACTAACTTATTTGCATAAACCTTACGTAACAACTATATAACTATATGTAAGCACTGATCTTTAACTGTAACTCTATCATCATGTTAATGTCTATGAGAATAAAGGGTTGGTTTGCTTGAACTCTCATGAAGAAAATGCTGATCGTGAGAGAACAAGGAAATAAAAAATGAAGAACACTAGAAATTGTTTCTTCAGAGTGAACCGCAATGAACTGGAGCACTGTAAACTCTCAAACATATTTACAAGACAAACTAAACACTAATGACAACACAATAAGCATAGTTATGTTCCTGTAACTACAAGCACTGATGACAGAACACTTTGAGCATAGTTCTGCTTCTTTAACTACAAGCGTTGATGACAAGACACAACAAACTTAGCTCTACCCTTCTAACTATAAATACTGAACGCAATCACACAATTTCCCTTAATTTTTTTATTTATTATTTATTAGCACACTGGCCAATTCCCACCAAGGCAGGGTGGCCTGAAAAAGAAAAACTTTCACCATCATTCACTCCATCACTGTCTTGCCAGAAGGGTTTTACACTCCAGTTTTTAAAATGCAACATTAACACCCCTCCTTCAGAGTGCAGGCACTGTACTTCCCATCTCCAGGACTCAAGTCCGGCCTGCCGGTTTCCCTGAACCCCTTCATAAATGTTACTTTGCTCACACTCCAACAGCACGTCAAGTATTAAAAATCACTTGTCTCCATTCACTCCTATCAAACACACTCACGCATGCCCGCTGGAAGTCCAAGCCCCTCGCACACAAAACCTCCTTTACCCCCTCCTCCAACCCTTTTAGGCCGACCCCTACCCCGCCTTCCTTCCACTACAGAATTGATACATCTTGAAGTTTAAATTCTGTTTCGCTCCATTCTTTTCTACATGTCCGAACCACCTCAAAAACCCCTTCCTCAGCCCTCTGGACAACAGTTTTGGTAATCCCGCACCTCCTCCTAACTTCCAAACTACGAAATTCTCTGCATTATATTCACACCACCCCATTGCCCTCAGACTTGACATCTCCACTGCCCCCCACCCTTCTCCTCGCTGCAACATTCATCACCCACGCTTCACACCCTATAAGAGCGTTGGTAAAAAACTATACTCTCATACATTCCCCTCTTTGCCTCCAAGGACAAAGTTCTTTGTCTCCACAGACTCCTAAGTGCACCACTCACTCTTTTTCCCTCATCAATTCTATGATTCACCTCATCTTTCATAGACCCATCCGCTGACACGTCCACTCCCAAAAAATCTGAATACGTTCACCTCCTCCATACTCTCTCCCTCCAATCTAATATCCAATCTTTCATCACCTAATCTTTTTGTTTTCCTCATAACCTTACTCTTTCCTGTATTCACTTTTAATTTTCTTCTTTTACATACCCTACCCTTAATAGTATAATTAAATACGATAAATTTTACAAGCATACAAACACCAAGACAACTACCAATATACACTTTCACATGCAGAACAAAAACAAAATATTTCCTTTCACATGCAGAACAAAAACAAAATATTTCCTTTCACATGCAGAACAAAAACAAAATATTTCCTTTCACATGCAGAACAAAAACAAAATATTTCCTTTCACATGCAGAACAAAAACAAAATATTTCCTTTCACATGCAGAACAAAAACAAAATATTTCTTTTCACATGCAGAACAAAAACAAAATATTTCCAAGAAAATTATTCACATTTATAGGATTCCTGCTCTAATACTTGACACGATGCTTGATGTTCAAACTGATCATCGTCACACAAGAAATTCTGGCAGTAATGACAACGAAAGATACGTCCGCCGTGACTCCAAACCTGAGGAGAAGTACATTAGTATTAATTTTGCCTTAACTTCAACAGCTGAAAGTTTAGTAAATATACTTTACTTCTCTCATCACATATAAGAATATAACTGCAGTAATAATTAGCATAAAGTGCAGCTCCTTACAAATTTGAACTGTGTGGCATTGATGATGATGTCACTTGGTAAGTCAGATAAAGCACTGTTGGTTCTGGGCAGTACATCACTTGTGACCAAAGAGAAACTCAATAAGCTAAGGGCTTCACCCCGCGAAAGAAGTACTCGCCATCATTCACACTATCACTGACTTGCGAGAGGCGCATGGATATCACAGTTCAGACTCGTGTTGTTATAGTCCCTAATATTAGATTTCTATGAATGAATGAGTTTCTATAATAACTGCAAACACTATTTTTTCTTTTATTTGTTCCTTACATGTTTAGATCCTATATATATGCATGTTGTAACCTATGTATTATTGCAGTGAAATTTATAAAGTAATATCAGCAGCCTTGGTAGGTAAACTAATAATTATATATCTTGCACAATGTTACAAGATATATAATTACTAACTTACCTACCCAGTTACAATGTTCATCTACTGAATGGACATAAACAGGGAAGAGGAACTAGTACAAGCCTGTGACTTACATCTCGTTCACATTCTATGCATGTGGCTTCAACAAGAGGACACGTACAGGCATGTGTCTGGAGGCACTTGCGACCATGGCATATCCAGGCTTCGCAAAAATCACAAATGGCTCCCTGTAAAGCAAGTCACATTTTACTAAAAAAGTACTATATATTGCAAATTTAAAATATCACTACCAGCTCTACTAGTATGAGCAACTACAGTGGACCCCCGCATACCGTACGCATCGCATACCATACAATCCGCATACCGCTCGCTTTGATCGCAAAAATTTTGCCTCGCATACCGCCCAAAAACCCGCTCACCGCTCTTCGTCCGAGACGCGTCCAATGTGCGCCCTCAGCCAGCCTCACATGTTCCGCCGGTGGCATTGTTTACCAGCCAGCCTCCGCGGTAACATCCAAGCATACAATCTGAATATTTCGTATTATTACAGTGTTTTCGGTGCTTTATCTGGAAAATAAGTGACCATGGGCCCCAAGAAAGCTTCTAGTGCCAACCCTACAGGAATAAGGGTGAGAATTCCTATAGAGATGAAGAAAGAGATCATTGATAAGTATGAAAGTGGAGTGCGTGTCGCCGACCTGGTCAGGTTGTACAAGAAACCCAAATCAACCATCTCTACTATTGTGGGCAACAGAAAGGCAATCAAGGAAGCTGTTCTTGCCAAAGGTTTAACTGTGTTTTCGAAACAGAGATCGCAAGTGATGGAAGATGTTGAGAGACTCTTATTGGTGTGGATAAATGAAAAACAGCTAGCAGGAGATAGCGTCTCTCAAGCGATCATAAGCGAAAAGGCTAGGAAGTTGCATGAGGATTTAATTAAAAAAATGCCTGTAACTAGTGATGATGTGAGTGAATTTAAGGCCAGCAAAGGTTGGTTTGAGAGATTTAAGAAGCGTAGTGGCATACATAGTGTGATAAGGCATGGTGAGGCTGCCAGTTCGGACCACAAAGCGGCTGAAAAATATGTGCAGGAATTCAAGAAGTACATAGACAGTGAAGGACTGAAACCTGAACAAGTGTTTAATTGTGATGAAACAGGCCTGTTTTGGAAGAAAATGCCAAGCAGGACCTACATTACTCAGGAGGAAAAGGCATTCCCAGGACATAAGCCTATGAAAGACAGGCTTACTTTGTTGATGTGTTCCAATGCTACTGGTGATTGCAAAGTGAAGCCTTTATTAGTGTATCACTCTGAAACTCCCAGACCGTTCAGGCAAAAGAATGTCCTCAAGGAGAATTTGTGTGTGCTGTGGAGGGCAAACAGTAAGGCATGGGTCACTAGGGACTTTTTCTATGACTGGTTACACCATGCATTTGCCCCCAATGTGAAAGATTACCTAACTGAAAAGAAATTAGAACTTAAGTGCCTCCTGGTGTTAGACAATGCCCCTGGTCATCCTACAGACGTGGCAGAGCGACTTTATGGGGACATGAAATTCATTAAGGTGAAGTTTTTGCCTCCTAATACCACTCCTCTCCTGCAGCCCATGGACCAGCAGGTTATTGCAAACTTCAAAAAACTGTACACAAAAGCTCTGTTTGAAAGGTGCTTTGTAGTGACCTCAGAAACTCAACTGACTCTAAGAGAGTTTTGGAGAGAGCACTTTAATATCCTCAATTGTGTAAACCTTATAGGTAAGGCTTGGGAGGGAGTGACTAAGAAGACCTTGAACTCTGCTTGGAAGAAACTGTGGCCAGAATGTGTAGACAAAAGGGATTTTGAAGGGTTTGAGGCTAACCCTGAGAGGATTATGCCAGTTGAGGAATCCATTGTGGCATTGGGAAAGTCCTTGGGGTTGGAGGTTAGTGAGGATGATGTGGAAGAGTTGGTGGAGGAGGACAATGAAGAACTAACCACTGATGAGCTGATAGATCAACTTCAACAGCAAGAGGCCAGACCTGAGGAAACTGGTTCAGAGGAGGGGAGAGAGAAATTGAAGAAGTTGCCTACTACAAAGATTAAGGAAATCTGTGCAAAGTGGCTTGAAGTGCAAACCTTCATGGATGAAAATCACCCTCACACAGCTATTGCAAGCCGTGTTGGCAACCTGTACACTGACAATGTTGTGAAACACTTTAGGGAAGTCATAAAGGAACGAGAGGTACAGGCCACTATGGACAGATATGTCGTGCGACAGAAGTCCAGTGACTCTGAAGCTGGTCCTAGTGGCATTAAAAGAAGAAGGGAAGTAACCCCAGAAAAGGACTCGACACCTCAAGGCTTAATGGAAGGGGATTCCCCTTCTAAACACTAACACTCTCTCTCCCCTCCTCCCATCCCATCAATCATCACCAGATCTTCAATAAAAGTAAGTGTCATGTAATTGTGCATGCCTTTTTCAGTTTGTGTGTATTAAAATTAACATTTCATGTGGTAAAATTTTTTTTTTCATACTTTTGGGTGTCTTGCACGGATTAATTTGATTTCCATTATTTCTTATGGGGAAAATTCATTCGCATACCGAACATTTCGCATAACAACCAGCCCTCTTGCACGGATTAAAGTCGCTATGCGGGGATCCACTGTACTGTAATAATGAAAGTATGTATATACAGTGGACCCCCAGTTTACGATATTATTTCATTCCAGAAGTATGTTCAGGTGCCATTACTGAACGAATTTGTTCCCATAAGGAATATTGTGAATTAGATTAGTCCATTTCAGACCCCCAAACATACACGTACAAACGCAACTACATAAATACACTTACATAATTGGTCGCATTGGGAGGTGATCGTAAACCGGGGGTCCACTGTATATGAATCATAACCATGTCACCGCTAAAGATTTAAAAGGCACAATACAGTGATTGGAACAACACACAAGTAACCCACACATAGGGTTATTTGTGTACTGGTAAAGAATCAGTACTGAAAAAATCAAGGATGTTTTCTTAGCTATACATTACCAGAAAGGAGCGACTCAAGTAACACAACACACTGCACAGCTACTTTATACAGAACTGTACTTCTAACTCTGACATGAAAGTGAGAGGATCTACCTTAGTAACTCCTTCTCTACAACCTATGTTAATGGAAGACATTAACAAAAATATAGCTGGGAAGAAACAATGTAAGTGTCATATGTCCTGAACTCTAGATTTCCCTCTTATCAATGTCTCTGTCAACATTTCAATGCTAAACTTGCATAGTAAATACAGTGGACCCCCTCTTAACGATCACCTCCCAATGCGACCAATTATGTAAGTGTATTTATGTAAGTGCGTTTGTACGTGTATGTTTGGGGGTCTGAAATGGACTAACCTACTTCACAATATTCCTTATGGGAACAAATTCGGTCAGTACTGGCACCTGAACATACTTCTGGAATGAAAAAATATTGTTAACCGGGGGTCCACTGTACTTCTTTTTTTTTTTTTTGCTTCACATTTTCCATAAGAGAAGAGTGATTCAAAGAAGGAAACACATTCACAATCATTCATTCAACAGCCGTCTTGACAGAAATGTGCCTGGTCATGGTCGTGGACTGGATCGTGGGGGTGTTGACCCCCAGAACACCCTCCAGGTATACTCCAGGTATACATCACAAATCAAATGATCCAAACCACAACATCCCTACACATCCTGCTAAATGCTAATGATTACTAAGTGTTAATTTAACTTTATATATCCTACATATTTAGTTAATACCTAACCATACCTATATGAAACACTTTCACTGTCTCACTGCACTGTACAACAAAAATTTAAATTCACCCATTAATTTTCTTGCATCTCTATCTGATTATGTTTTTGCAAGTACAGTGGACCCCCGGTTCACGATATTAATCCGTTCCTGAGAGCTCATCGTAAACCAAAATTATCGGAAAGCGAATCAATTTTCCCCATAAGAAATAATGGAAATCAAATTAATCTGTGCAAGACACCCAAAAGTATGAAAAAAATTTTTTTTTACCACATGAAATATTAATTTTAATACACACAAACTGAAGAAGACATGCACAGTTACATGACACTTACCTTTATTGAAGATCTGGTGATGATTGATGGGATGGGAGGAGGGGAGAGTGTGGATGGTCTTAGTGTTTAGAAGGGGAATCCCCTTCCATTAGGACTTGAGGTAGCAAGTCCTTTTCTGGGGTAACTTCCCTTCTTCTTTTAATGCCACTAGGACCAGCTTGAGAGTCACTGGACTTCTGTCGCACAACATATCTGTCCATAGAGGCCTGTCCCCTTTTCTAGGTTTTCCTTCACGTAATCTCCCTTATAAGTGTTTCATCACCAACATTGATCAGTTGAGAAGTCTCCATGCTTTTGCTTCACAAATAACATGCTGTGAGGGGTGTATTTTTCATAGCACCCTTTTGCAAACATGATGAGTGAAGATGTGAAATTTTCTGCCTACCTGTTGTTTAAATCTTATAATACTAATATAACAGTCTCTCAACATTTTCTAACACTTGCAGTCGCTGTTTCGTAATCACAGTTGCACCTTTTGCTCACTATAGTAGAGATGGTTGATTGGGATTTACTACACAACCTGACCAGATCCGACACACACACTCCACTTTCGCACTTTGCAATTATCTCTTTCTTCATTTCAACAGTCAATAGCACCCTTGGTCTCGAAGGGTTGGCACTAGGAGCTTTCTTGGGGCCCATGGTGGCTTATTTTGCAGAAACAAGCACCAAAAACAGTGATATGGATAATATGGAATGTCACCGAATGTATCCTTAGATGCACGCACACTGGCTGGCTTATAAACACTGGTACACACGGGGGAGTTCAGGCCACAAGTGGACACGTCTCGTACGAATCGTATCGCATACCGGGTTTTGTATCGGGAAGCGAGGCAAAATTTTTTCGATCAAATGCATCGGCAACCGAATTTATCGGATACCGGTAACATCGGGAACCGGGGGTCCACTGTACTATCTAAATTATCCTGTTCTCCTTCAACTGTGTTTAATACAATTATCTACAAACCCTTTTCTGATAAAAAAAATTGGATTAATTAATTACAAAAATGTACAAGATAAAATAAGGACAATACAATACATATATAAAGTATATAAAATTAACACCAAATATTGCAGAAAAATATCGGTGGGAGAAGGCCGACTTGTTAAAAAATATATATATATATAGTATATACCATATTTTCCAATATATAAATTGCACCTTTCTTCCCCACAAATAGTCTTGGAAAATCAGCCAGTGCCTTACATGTTCAAGATCAGGGTCAAGGGTAGCTTTTGGGTTATGCTGTAGCATAAAGTAATTAACCTTTAACCCTTTCAGGATCCCCAGGCCCTCTCCGAGACTTGTTCTCAGGGTCCCTAAATTTAAAAAAAAAAAAATTATTTTTTCTTATGAAAAGATAGAGAATCTTTTCCCGATCATAATGACACCAAAAGTATGAAATTTGATGGAAAACTTATGGAATTATGCTCTCGCGAAGTTAGTGGTCTTGACGATGTTTACGCATCGGCGATTTTGCCTTCTTTGAGCCCTATTTTCGGCCAATTCAAGTGTACTAGTCGACAAAAATCATAACTACTTCGCTAGAACTCCATTTTTTCTATCGAATAAGTACAAGAAAACATCCATTTACCGATTTCAACTATCCAATAAAGTGGTCAGAATTTAGCAATTTTGCCAATTTCACACAAATTTCAAAAGATGCCAATTTCCGAATAGGGTCCAGAATAAACAAGAAAGACATTCCTGGCACTAAAATAACAAGTTCTCTGTTCGTTAATCATGTCCCCAGGACCCTCTTATATTTCTTTGGCTTTCCACTTTGAATTTTTATTCTTACAAAAAATAGAAGATTTACTGCTATGCAGACTACTGCATTAGTCTAGAAATGGTATAAATAATGTCAGCGCACTTGTGAAAGAATATTAGACTCACCAGTTGATGTGTACTGGATGCTTGGCATGATTTGTTTACTTTTGAACTTTGGTAAATATCGAACATTTCTGCTACTTTGAGCTCAATTTCAAGGTACTTTTCATTGTAAAACCAGTCAAAATCATCTCAATTTCTGTAATATATCTTCCATTCTATAAAATGAGACCAAGAAAACAATAAATACCATATGAAAATACAGTGCAAAGTCGCTGTTTTAATCCAAAAACACGGTCAAAGTTTTTTTTTTTTCTCATTACGCACTGTGTGCTGCGCACACTGACCACAAAGACACATTCTTTCATATGCAGGCCTACCAGCTTTCTCTCACTAGATTTGAGGGCGCTAGAATTTAGGCATACTAGTACGTGAAAAACCCTGGGGCATAAGCCGCACTAATACGGCCGAAACCCTGAAAAGGTTAAATGTGATTACTGATTTACTGCTATGATACTTCTGTCATGTGTCTCATGTGCTGGAAAATACGGTGTATACTACTTAGAGAGCAAGAAGCTAGTAACCCCTTCTCCTGTATAAATTACTAGATGTTAAAAGGAGAAAACATTATAGAATTCTTCCTTTACAGGTTTCCCTGCCTCGGTGGGAGATGGCCAGTATGTTGGAAAAAATTACTGTACATGTAGAGTACTTACGACCATGCCTAGGCCTGTGGTGTATGTGCCGGGGTGCTTCACTACACAGTCACCTGTTTTAAGCATACACTTGACTTTGCCACAATGTGCACACTGTGGTAAGCGTTGGATGGACTGACAGAAGTAGCAGAATGCACGATTCTTTTGACGCCTCTGACATCTGTCACATTCCTGAAGAACAGATATTGCAAATGTGTACTATATTTTCTTACAATTTATAAATTTCAAGAAAGAATAAGAAGATAATATTGTTATTGGAACAATACACAAGTAACCCTTACATTGGAAAAAAAAAACTTGCGACGATGTTTTGGTCCAACTTGGACTATTAACAAGGGTGAGTAGTTAATGGTCCAAGTTGGACAGGTTATTCATGTATAAATTCCAAAACATTCACATGTATGGGCTATAGCACATAAGGGTACAGAAATATGTTGGCTAGTTAATTCTATATCTACCTTACATGGGTGCTACAAACACTATCCAGTACTGTAATGAGGCTACAACTGATTGGGAGAAATGGTTGGTTGTGTATGGTAGCATCAGCAAGAAGAATGTACAATACCACTGTGAGACTGCTGATTGCCTCAGAAATCCCTGGATCACGGGGTTAGTAAAAATAACTGGGTATCTCATTCCATTGAAGAATTAAGACCCATCATTGAACACGGTGGTAACATCAAACCGTGAATGACAACGGTTAGGCCAGAACACGTTCAAAGCTCAAAAAAGTGAACTTCAGCAATGAGAAGAAAAAAAAGGGGCAGACTTGATGTAAGAGAAACGAAGAAGAAAAAATAGGGCAGAAAAAGGACACTAAAAATAATTTTAGCTATAATGGAAGGGATGAAAGAAGGCTTAGAAGCACAAGTGAATTCCTTTAAAAAGTAAAGACTTCATCAATCACTTGTCAAAAAACAGACATTGACACAGTTACTTTTTGCTGATGATACTGTGCTTATGGGAGATTCTAAAGAAAAATTGCAAAAGTTAGTGGATGAGTTTGGGAGTGTGTGTACAGATAAACTTTTCTTGAAACCTAGGTTTAGTGGACCAAAATTTCATAGCAATTCATTAATCAGAAATAGGCAGTACAAGTATACAAATTTTTCAAAAACTGTATTGAATATATAGATAAAACTGTTTCAATGGTAATCTTTTAGCAACAAACCTAACCATATGCTTACAGAATGTAGTTTATTATTATATTTCTTATTTAATTTCAATGAGTTATGTTAAGTGTATGTATATACCTAAAAAAATCTGAACTTGATAAAAAAAAAGGTAAAGTACTGTACTTTGCTGTAAATTAGGTTTGAATTATAACAAAGGCATCCACCGTATTCTCTCACAAATTTTACACCTGTTACAAAAGTCAAAAAATATTACAGTAGTTTAATAATACAGCTCTGATTTTTTTTTTTTAGATTTACCATAATTGAATTACATGGAAGATCAGCCAATGAGCGATTGGCTCGACCCTTTCTCAATTCCTTCTGGCGAGCCTTCTGCTTCTCGGCCTTCTTCCTCTGCCCTGTCTTTTTTTTGGGCATCTTCTCGTTTCTGTAAAAATTAAATGCAATCTGTAAATGTGTATAACATGGGATATACTACTTAACATCTGAAACATTATACACAAATAACCCGCACATAAAAGAGAGAAGCTTACGATGACGTTTCGGTCCGACTTGGACCATTTACAAAGTCACAGTGTGACCTTTGTAAATGGTCCAAGTCGGACCGAAACGTCGTCATAAACTTCTCTCTTTTGTGTGCGGGTTATTTGTGTATCGTTCCAGTCACGGTATTGTGCCTTTTTTTGTTATATTCTGAAACATTATGGCTTATATACATGATAAACACACCAGCCTGCCCAAGGAAAAGAATATTGATAAATCCTGGAATACAGAGTATGGTAGTGTACATAACTTAGAACATAAGATATAAAATTTAGAAGTGATTTACAAGTGAAATATATTGTTTGCTCTATAACATACAATGAAAAATATTTCAGTATTTTTCTTATTATTATTATTACTTAGTCTTCATGTCTGGACAATACAGTACAGTAGGTTCATAAAAAATTAATAATTTTACGAAATACCATATAGCTCCCCTCACTTAATGACGGAGTTCCGTTCCTAAGACCACAGTCGGTAAACGAATTCGTCGCTAAGTGAGGAGCAAACTATAATGGTAGTGGATTTTTTTCAACCATCTTTGATATTGTTTTAATGTCACCTTTGTACCATTTATAACATTTTAAGCGTATTTTTAAATGTTTATACAGTAGTGCACTGTATATTGCAATAAAGAGAACAGAGGAAATCAGCTCTAATATACATAATTTAGGTATGTATACTGGTCAGAGAGCCTGTCGTAAGTCCAAGTCATCGGTAAAAGAGTACGTCGCTAAGTGAGGAGAGGCTGTACTGTAAAACAAGTAAGCTTATTTAGGCACAGGTACATATAAATATAGTTATCATACATAGTGTAAATTACCTAGGATAACACACATGAATTATTTGGATACCATGTCCCCTGCCCTACACTCCCATACACACACATCTTTCTTCTTTCAACACACCGGCCGTATCCCACCAAGGCAGGGTGGCCCAAAAAGAAAAACGAAAGTTTCTCTTTTAAATTTAGTAATTTATACGGAGAAAGGGGTTACTAGCCCCTTGCTCCCGGCATTTTAGTCGCCTCTTACAACACACATGGCTTACGGAGGAAGAATTCTGTTCCACTTCCCCATGGAGAACACACACATACTTTAACTATATAATCCAGTATCTTTTTGTTTAATGGAATGAGCTGTAAAAATGATCAGTCCTTTTCCCATTTAAATATTCTAACAAACTAACAAAAAATCTGAAGATTTTGTTAAAAGTTAACTACTTATCCTGTGTAGATTTAAGTAGTCATTATGTACTAGGATTAGCCTGCCCGAAATGCCCTGGCATGATAGTGGCTTTCTTTGTACTTGGCAAACCAAAATTGTAATTATACATTGTAACCTTTACAAAGAAATAAAATCTTTGTTCTTTAAATACGTGGATATGATAGGTGAACTCGTGTTTTTATAAAGTTTAGTGGTGTTCTAATCCGTGAACCTCTAGTGGCTTGTTACACATCTAATGGATACTCCAATTTGTTCCACGTATTGTTCAACATGAAGAATTGAGACACTTATGCAACACACGGGAATCTTTATTGAAGAAACGTTTTGCCACACAGTGGCTTCATCAGTCCAATACAAAGTAGAAATGGGTAAGGAGAGGAGAAGTTTGAGGTAATCAGTCCCTCAACCTGGAATCGATGTGTTCAGTCCATCAGTCTTGTAGAGAAGTGCAGCATAGGGCCAGAGAGGTGGCTCATATACTGCAGTCAGATGAGGTGAAGCAGGAGGAGGCGGGATCATCCAAAGGTTGGGCAAGCGTTGAAGTCTTTGTACCAAGATTCCATGATGTTGCCATGTCTGACAGATGTGATGAATGGTTTAGAAAACCGACAAGTTGAAGAATTGAAACACTTTGGACGACGACCTACTTACACTAGTGGCAGGTCCCACTGTGATCCCGCCTCCTCCTGCTTCACCTCATCTGACTGCCGTATATAAGCCACCTCTCTGGCCCTATGCTGCATTTCCTACAAGAGTGATGGACTGAACACATTGATTCCAGGATGAGGGACTGATTACCTCAAACTCCTCCTCTCCTTACCCATTTCTACTTTGTATTGGACTGATGATGCCACTGTGAGGAAAAACGTTTCTTCAATAAAAATTCTCATGTGTTGCATAAGTGTCTCAATTCTTCAACTTGTCGGTTTTCAAAACCATTCATCACATTGTTCGACATATCCAGTGGCGGCTAATACTTTTATCTTTGGTATACCTTTGATGAGTTTTGAGAGTTTTTCCACTCCTGGAGCCTGGTCTGGGCCAGGCTTGTCTGGTGCTAGCCTGGTCAACCTGGCTGTTGCTGCTTGTGGACCGCTGACCCACACATCTGTCACAGCCTGGATGATCTGGCTTTTCAATGTATAATTTATTCAAGCACAGTGTTGTAATGTCAATTAATGGTGTCTGGAAAACACAATTCCTCACAAACCCCCCACACCTGCTGTCACGGTTCACCTAGCAGTAAGTAGGTACCTGGGTGTTAGTGGACTGGTGTGGGTCGCATCCTGGGACAAAACTGACCTAATCTGCGGGAAATGCTCAGCATAACAAGTGACTTTCTATATAGTAGTATGTCACTGATGTCAGCTATGATCTGTATACCTTGTACATGTACTGGTATACCTTGTACATGTACTGGTATACTTTGTACATGTACTGGTATATCTTGTACATGTACTTGTATACCTTGTACATGTACTGGTATACCTTGTACATATACTGGTATACCTTGTACATGTACTGGTATACCTTGTACATGTACTTGTATACCTTGTACATGTACTGGTATACCTTGTACATGTACTGGTATACCTTGTACATGTACTGGTATACCTTGTACATGTACAATTAGTAAATAATTTCTTTTGGTAATATATTAAAACTAGAAGGTCAGCATTCTGGTATCTGCTACATCAAGGACCCCAATGAGAATAAGATCAAGGACCCAAGTGAAAATATGATCAAGGAGCCTAATGGAAATAAGATCAAGGAGCCTAATGGAAATACGATCAATGAGCCTAATGGAAATAAGATCAAGGACCCTAATGGGAATATGATAAAGGTGCCTAATGGAAATATGATCAAGGTGCCTAATGGAAATAAGATCAAGGAGCCTAATGGAAATAGATCAAGAGCCTAATGGAAATAGACAATGGACCTAATGGAAATAAGATCAAGGACCCTAATGGGAATATGATCAAGGTGCCTAATGGAAATATGATCAAGGTGCCTAATGGAAATAAGATCAAGGTGCCTAATGGAAATAAGATCAAGGAGCCTAATGGAAATACGATCAATGAGCCTAACGGAAATAAGATCAAGGACCCTAATGGAAATACAATCAAGGACCCTAATGGAAATAAGATCAATGAGCCTAATAGAAATATGATCAAGGACCCTAGTGGAAATAAGTGAAGGATTCCAATGAAAATAAGTCAGAGACCCTAATAAAAAATAACATCAAGGAATCCTTTGGAAATAAGTCACTTTAACTTTGTTTTTTTTGGGAATTATCATGGAGTATAATTTACACTATATAATAATTATCATGGTGTATAATTTACACTATATAATAATTATCATGGTGTATAATTTACACTATATAATAATTATCATGGAGTATAATTTACACTATATATAATAATTATCATGGTGTATAATTTACACTATATATAATAATTATCATGGTGTATAATTTACACTATATATAATAATTATCATGGTGTATAATTTACACTATATATAATAATTATACTTACGTATACCTGTACCTAAATATACAACTGTGGCAGCATAAACAGAAACTACATTATCTTGTATAATACTGTAGTTGCTGGTGTTATTGGACACTTATAAGATGTATGAAGACCTTGACGAGGTTGTGGGTTAACATGTTAAATAAAGTGTTAAGTGAGAGTGAAAAAAAATACTTAAAACTTCAGAAGTGATGTGATGTCAAGTGATGGTTGTTAAGGGTCGCTGAAACTCACACTTTATTATCCCAGCTTCTCTACACATATTTTGTTATGTATTTATTTATTTAGTTATTTTTTTATTTGGATATGATACATAGATGTACAAAGAAATATAGTGATTGGGTTTACATGCCAAAAGATCCTTGTATGCAGAGTATTATGGGATTATTTCATCATTTACTGCACCAGGAACATCACCAGGGAACGGATGGGTCTACACAGGATAATAAAAATGATGTCCACTAGTAAAGAAACACTAGATTTTATATAATGTCATATGGACTACGCTGGCTCTTCATGGTGCTCTGTCTTGACAGAAAGACTCGAAGTTGGACTGCAAATCAGTCAGAACAAAATGGTAAGATTCATCCTAGACTTGAGTCCAAGAGAACATGTAGGTCTGGGTCCTAGAGAACATGTAGGTCTGGGTCCAAGAAAACATGTAGGCCTGAGTCCAAGAGAACATGTAGGTCTGAGTCCAAGAGAACATGTAGGCCTGAGTCCAAGAGAACATGTAGGTCTGGGTCCAAGAGAACATGTAGGTCTGGGTCCAAGAGAACATGTAGGCCTGAGTCCAAGAGAACATGTAGGTCTGGGTCCAAGAGAACATGTAGGCCTGGGTCCAAGAGAACATGTAGGTCTGGGTCCAAGAGAACATGTAGGCCTGAGTCCAAGAGAACATGTTGGTCTGGGTCCTAGAGAACATGTAGGTCTGGGTCCAAGAGAACATGTAGGTCTGGGTCCAAGAGAACATGTAGGCCTGAGTCCAAGAGAACATGTGGGTCTGGGTCCAAAAAAACATGTAGGTCTGGGTCCAAGAGAACATGTGGGCCTGAGTCCAAGAGAACATGTAGGCCTGGGTCCAAGAGAACATTAGGTCTGGGTCCAAGGAACATTAGGCCTGAGCCAAGAGAACATGTAGGCTGGGCCCAAGAGAACATGTAGGCCTGAGTCCAAGAGAACATTAGGTCTGGGTCCAAGAGAACATAGGTTGGGTCCAAGAGAACATGTAGGCCTGGTCCAAGAGAACATGTGGGCCTGGGTCCAAGAGAACATGAAAGGTCTGGGTCCAAGAAACAAGAAGGCCTGAGCCCCAAGAAGAACATGTAGTGGGTCCAAGAGAACATGTAGGCCTGGCCAAGAGAACATTAAAGGTCTGGGTTTCCAAGAGAACATTAGGCCTGGTCCAAGAAACATGTAGGCCTGGGCCCCAAGACAACATTAGGCCGGTCCAAGAGAACAGTAGGCCTGATCCAAGAGAAAAAAGGTCTGGTCCAAGAGAACAATAGGTTTCTGGGTCCAAGAGATTCCATAAATGTAGCCTGGGTCCAAGAAACATGTAGGCCGAGTCCAAGAGAAATATGGGTCTGGTCCAAGAGAACATATAGGCCTGGGTCCAAGAACATTAGGCCTGGGTCCAAGACAACATGTAGGCCTGGTCCAAAAACATGTAACCTGGTCCAAGAGAACATTAGGCCTGGGCCCAAAGAAAAAAGAGGCCTGGGTCCAAGAAACAAGTCTGGTCCCAGAGAACATAGGCCTGACCAAAGAACATGTAGGCCTGGGTCCAAGGAACATGTATCCTGGTCCAAGAGAACATGTAGCCCTGGTCCAAGAGAACATGTAGGCCTGGTTCCCAAGAGAACATGTAGGCCTGAGGTCCAAGAGAACATGTAGGCCTGGTCCAAGAGAACATGTAGGCCCTGGTCCAAGAGAACATGTAGGCCCTGGTCCAAGAGAACATGTAGGCCTGGGTCCAAGAGAACATGTAGGCCTGGGCCCCAAGAGAACATGTGGGCCCTGGGTCCAAGAGAACATGTGGGCCCTGGTCCAGAAACATGTGGGCTGGCCAAGAAAAAATGTAGGCCTGGGTCCAAGAGAACATGTAGCCGGGGTTTCCAAGAAGAACATTTAGCCCGGGGTCCAAAGAACATGTAGCCCTGGTCCAAGAGAACATGTAGGCCTGGGTCCAGAGAACATTAACCTGGGTCCAGAAACAAGGCCGGGATGAATTACAACAATTGGATATGCTGAATGTTGAAGACAGAGTAAAACAACTGAAGCTAAATAAAGTTTATAAAATTGCTCACAAACAGTGTCCAGAATATTTTGCTGCCATTTTGTCAAGGTCGGGAACCAAAGCAATCATAGTACTAGGGGGAGAGAACACAACTTTGTAGTACCCACAGTCAGTGGCCAGGCTTCAAACACCTTTTATTGTACAGCAATAAAGGAATGGAACAGACTACCTGCACATGTCAAAGCCAGTCATAACATGAACCAGTTCAAGAAGAGTGCCAAAAAGTGTCTGATGAATGTAGCTACAGAAAGGGAGGGGGATGATTTCTTATTCTTTTAGCTAACACACATGTAAATATAAATAACTCGTTTTACTTTATTCCTAGTATATCTTCTTTATAGTATAATAATAATATTATCTCCTATATAATATAATAATAAGGTATTAAAAGACCTCAATGGAAATAGTCACTTTGTCTAACTTTTTTGGGTTATCCCAGGTTTACCTGGACCTGGAGTTTACCTGGAGAGAGTTTCGGGGGTCAACGCCCCCGCGGCCCGGTCTGTGACCAGGCCTCCTGGTGGATCAGCGCCTGATCAACCAGGCTGTGGCTGTTGCTCTCTACACATATGCTGCTATGTATGATAATTCTATGTAACTGTATTTGTGTATACCTGAATAAACTTATTACCCGAGCCTAAACTCACCTGAGTCAACAACAACAGGATATGTTGTGTACGAATGGTATATAATACCGACTGATTACCTCATCTTCTGTAGATAGTTCTACTGTCTTCAAGTTATGTCCTAGAGTTTGTATTGATAAAGCCACTGGATGGCGAAACGTCTACAATAAAGATATCCAGATGTTGCACATGTGTCTTACTCTCAACAACAGGATATACCTAAGTCAACAACAAGAGGATTTGCCCGTCAACAACAACAGGATTAACTTGAGCTGAGAAGCTGATGCTGGCGCCCCGCTATTTAACCATCATCAGCAGTACTGTATAACCAAGATAAATGTCTTAAGGTGAGAAAAACAAGGAAAATTACCCACTGGTGCCCAGCGCGATGGGTAGAGCGAAACGTCAACTGGAACTGAAGACTGGTTGCCCACTCACTACTCCCGATGTTTCACATCCAACACTGAATCTTAACTTCAATGTATAATTAAAAAATAATCTTCTAGAGAGGCTTCATAATTCATCAGAAATTTCATTATCATTATATACCATCAAAATATATTTAACATTAATGTTATTTTTACCTCAGACTCTTAAAAAAATCCAAACAACATAACAATACCTGGAGTTTACCTGGAGAGAATTTCGGGGGTCAATGCCCCCGCGGCCCGGTCTGTGACCAGGCCTCCTGGTGGATCAGGCTGATCAACCAGCTGTTGTGCTGGCTGCACGCAAACCAACATACGAGCCACAGCCCGGCTGATCCGGAACTGACTTTAGGTGCTTGTCCAGTGCCAGCTTGAAGACTGCCAGGGGTCTGTTGGTAATCCCCCTTATGTGTGCTGGGAGGCAGTTGAAGTCTCGGGCCCCTGACACTTATTGTATGGTCTCTTAACGTGCTAGTGACACCCCTGCTTTTCATTGGGGGTGGTGGCATCGTCTGCCAATCTTTTGCTTTCGTCTGGAGTGATTTCGGTGCAAGTTCGGTCACTAGTCCTCTAGGATTTTCCAGGTGTATATAATCATGTATCTCTCCCTCCTGCGTTCCAGGGAATATGGAAAAGAATTTGACTAAATAAAAAAATAACTAAAATGCCTTAAAAAAACAGTGTTTTATAAATATTCTCTAAGATAACATTTAAGATAAATATTTACAGTAAATAATTACGGTGCCCCGCGGCCAGGTGGCTAAAGTTCTCGCTTTACACGGTGAGGGTCCGGGTTCGATTCCCAGCGAGGGTAGAAACACTGGAAGTGTTTCTTTACACCTGCTGTCCCTGTTCACCCATCAGTAAAATAGGTACCTGGGTGTTAGTGGACTGGTGTGGGTCGCATCCTGGGTGTTAGTGGACTGGTGTGGGTCGCATCCTGGGTGTTAGTGGACTGGTGTGGGTGGCATCCTGGGTGTTAGTGGACTGGTGTGGGTCGCATCCTGGGTGTTAGTGGACTGGTGTGGGTCGCATCCTGGGTGTTAGTGGACTGGTGTGGGTCGCATCCTGGGTGTTAGTGGACTGGTGTGGGTCGCATCCTGGGTGTTAGTGGACTGGTGTGGGTCGCATCCTGGGTGTTAGTGGACTGGTGTGGTCGCATCCTGGGTGTTAGTGGACTGGTGTGGGTCGCATTCCTGGGTGTTAGTGGACTGGTGTGGGTCGCATCCTGGGTGTTAGTGGATGGTGTGGGTTGCATCCTGGGTGTTAGTGGACTGGTGTGGGTCGCATCCTGGGTGTTAGTGGACTGGTGTGGGTCGCATCCTGGGTGTTAGTGGACTGGTGTGGGTCGCATCCTGGGTGTTAGTGGACTGGTGTGGGTCGCATCCTGGTTGTTAGTGGACTGGTGTGGGTCACATCCTGGGTGTTAGTGGACTGGTGTGGGTCGCATCCGGGGTGTTAGTGGCTGGTGTGGGTCGATCTGGTGTTGGGGACGGGTGGGGGGTCCCCGGGGTTTTAGTGGATGGTTGGGCCCAATCGGGTGTTAGTGGCTGGGTGGGTCCACCCTGGGTGTTTTAGGGATTTGGGGTAAATCCGGGGGTGTTAGTACTTGTGGGTCCACCCGGGTTTTTGGGGGTTGGGGTCAAAAAAGGGAAAAATTTTTAATTTGAGGAATTGGGGGGTTTAAACCCTTGAAAGTGGAATTGGGTGAAAATTTGTTTGTACGTTTGTCCTTGGGGGTTATACTTTTTGGGGGTTAAAATTTGGGTTATTATTATATTTTATTTTAAATTAA